GTTCATTCAGTCTGTAACAGAAGGAGCCATGTTAACCACAGGCAGAGAACTGGGAGTTAAGGACACACCATAAGTAGTTAACTAAGAGCTGAATGGGTTTGATAAGATGAGTCTGCCATCTTTAACTAATGAAGTATCCCCAAAACCCGAGGCCCAGAGCTGTAACAACTGTTAAACACCCTGCCAGAAGAATCTCACTGGTCTTAATGGAACCTTCCCAACACACAATGCTTTGCCAGAATGGACCTCTATTTATGCAAAGCAAAATAGTGTTTTACCCCTTACACATTTTGTTTGCAAAAGACCTGCAGATGGAGAACACACAACACCATCACCTGCTCTAACTTCTGGGCAGGCAAGGAAGCCACAGCAATTTTACACCCCATGCAAGTAAAATCTGAAGACATAACATTTGATTGTTGTTGTAAAAAGAGAAAGCCCTGACACTGCAACAGCTTCACAGGGTCAGAGCCCCAACAGTCACCTGCAGTCCCTGTAGGACAGTGGGCAGGGAGAGAAGATCCAGGCAAAGACCCACAGCCCAGAGAGCTCTGACATATAAAACTAACATTTCAGAGACATTTTCTATGTGTTATTCTACAAGCACTCCAATATTGTAATAAAAATATATAATAAAAGCCAACTTTTCAACCAAGTTCTTGGTTCTGCTTGCAAACAGGGAAATACTTTTGCCAGATAACACACACACGATCTCGAAAACCCAATAGAAAATGCACTGCTGTTATCAAAACTACCACAATTAATTTAAAATTTTAAACTCAAGCTCTACCTTTTTAATTCTACACAATTAAGTAAGAAACCAGGACAGTTCTTTGTTTTTTTTTAAAGCCCCTAATCAAGTCAGAACACATGTATGTCTTGGCAGAGTTCAAACAGAGAGAGCACTACTAAGCACTTAGTTTACTAAATATTTTTACTTTGACAGTTACACTTCAATTTCTGCTCAAATATTTTAAAAATTTGATAGTGTTTACCTGTCTATTTCATTCTGTACTTCATCAATGTGTTCAATTGCTTCCTGTTGCTCTTTTTCTGAAAAACAAACGAAAATGTGTCAACATCCCTTCATTCTCAAGCCTGACAAATCACCTGGGGCTTCTCTTTAAGACCTTTTCTAGTGATCTACTGTAAAAGCACCCGGGGATTTCTATTAAATGTCAGAAGTGCTATAAGGCCTCAAAGCTTCAGCCTCACGGGGTGCACTGGGAGCCGATGAAGTGCAGGAAAGTTTGACAAAACGGCCCTAAAGTGAGTTCACCCCCAGAAAACCACAGCTCACATCCCCCTCCACAGTTTTACAAGCCAACTTAATTTAAAAGTCAACCGTGACACATGAGCAGCAATTTAATTAAAGCGTTGTAAGCCGCGTTTACTACGACCAACACATTCGAGGGAATGTGAAATAATTTAGAGAGGACTGAGATACCAATAGAAACAGCGCGTCTGGGCACACGCCACCTTCCAAACAGCAAAGAGAACGCTCGGAAGGAGGGTTAGAAACAAAAAAGCCTCGAAAGCGGCAGCTCGCGGGTATTTTCTAACGGGCCCTTCCCCTGGCCGCAGGTCCGGCCGGGGCCGGGTTCCGGAGCGCTGTTTCCCCGCCGCGCGGGCGATGAATGAGCGGCCGCGGGAAGCGGCGGGCGCGGAGCAGCGCCCGGGGGGCCGTGCCCGTCCCCGCCGCGGGGGCGCGGGACGCACGTGGGGCGGCAGCGCGGGCAGCGCCGCGGCCCCGGAGCGAGCCCGGCCTCCCAAACCCGCGGCCGCACGTGGGGCGGCCCCGGCCCCGCGTGTCCCCGCCGCCCCATCCCCGCAGCACCACGCGGCCGCGGGAGGCGGCGGCGCATCATGGCGGCGGCGGAGCGGCAGCACAATGAGGCTCCGCGGATGCCGCTCCGCGAGGGGCGGCGCGGGGGGGGTCCCGCTGCTCGGGCCGAGCCGCAGCGCCCCCCGCCCGGCCCCGCGGGGAGGGCGGCCGGGCCGGCGGCGCAGACAAAAGGGCGCTGTAACATGGCCTCCTCCCGCCGCCGCCGGGCCTGCACATCCGCCCGGCCCGGCCCGCGCTCCGCCCGCCCCCGGCGCGGCCGCGGCCCGTGCGGCGGGGGAAAATGGCGGTCGGGCGCGAGGCGGAGGCCGCGCCGGCTGCCGCCATTCCCGTCCCGCCCCCGGCGCGGCCTCACCTGAGGTCTCGTCGGCCCCATCGTGGTTGGAGTTCAGCTCCTTCTTACTGACTTTGGCCGCCGGCGCCGACATGTTGGAGGCTGCGGAGCTCGAAGGGCGGGAGGGAGGGGGGGCTGCAACGGGGGTGCGCGGGGGGAAGGGGGGGGAGCCGGGCGCTGACTCCTCCTGCTGCCGCTGCCGCCGCTGCTACCGCCGCCGCCGCTCGGGTCCCTCCGCCGCCGGGGCGCTCCCGCCTCCTCCGCGCGGTGCTGCCGGATACCAGGGCGGCAGCAGCGCCTCTCGCTGCCCTCGCACTCCTCACCCAGAGCCGCCACCGCCACCTCCTCCTCTGCTGCTGGCGAGGGGCGGGCACGCGGCGCGCATGCGCGGCCACCCCCCCCGCCCCAGCGCCGGGCCACGGCGGCCGCAACGCGCGTGCGCTCCGAGCCCCCCGCCCCGGGGCGCGCTGTGCCGCGGGCGTCGCGCTGCGCAGGCGCGGACGCGCTCTCCCCACCCCGCGCCGGGGAAGGCGAGGCGGGCCCAGCGCGCGCGCAGCCGCGGGGAGGCCACGCCCCCGCTGTCGCCCTGGAGCCGGGCGTTGATTGGTGGGGAGACTCGGTAGGGGGGCGTGGCCTCGGCGCGGAGACACAGAGGACGGCGCGCGCGGGAGGGCGGAGGGGTATGGGGGGGGGGTTTCGCGCCTGCGCGCGGCGCACGTGCCCGCGCGGACTCGCTGAGGCGCCGCGCGCGAGGCCCCAGGGGTGTGTCACCTCCCCCCCACACAGTCCCCTCACGGCCCCCCCCCCCCTTCCGGCCCTTGTGCAGGCACCGACACACGGCACGGGCACGGGGAAGGAGAAGGGGCAGCAATGGTGTTCGGGGGCACCTGTCTCCAGATGGTCCCAAATGGTCCCAAAAAGCTCCAGTGCTGCGCGATCCCGCCGCCAGAGGCGGCCCCTCGGGACCGGCTTCAGAGCCACCGGCGAAGTCGTGTTTCCCCCGGGAATGTAGTGATCCCTGTCTCCCTGCGCTGCCTCCTTTAGCTGGGATGTGTCCCAAAGCACTTATAGAATCACCAAGGTTGGGAGAGACCTTTGGGATCATCCAGTCCAACTATGCACCAAGTGCTCTGTAACCCCTAAATCACATCACCCAGCACCACATCCAACACCTCCAGGCATGGTGACTCCACCACCTCCCTGGGCAACCCATTCCAATGCCTGACACCTGAACAGTGAAAATATTGTTCTGATACCTGATTTGAATTGCCCATCTCAGCTTAAGGCCATTTCTTCTGCTCCTCTAACTGAAGACACAGCAGAAGAAACTGGCCCCCACCACACTACAACCTCCTCTCAGGTAGTTGTGGAGAGTGATGAGGTCCCCCCTGAGCCTCCTCAAGACTAAACAAGCCCATATAAATAACTTGGTTGAGGGCACAGAGCCCTGTCAGTCACACCCAGCCCGTCACTGTGGGAGCACAGCTCCAGAAGGTCACGGAGCCGCCTGCCAGCACCTGCCACTGCACCCAGAGCAGCAGGACTTTAAATAACCCATTTTGTCCCTTTCCTGTCCACCTGTCATGGAAGAGCTCAGTGCAGCTTCACAGCTACAGCTTACCCGGGTTTGCTCTTAAAGGAACAGCCAAGTCACTCTTTTCTATTGAAATCAGCACCACATCAGTCATAGATGAGTGTTATGACACAGATTGGGCTGAGAAACAAGTACAGCTTCGAGGAAATAGGAATTTCCCATTTGTATTTGCTTCTCAGTCACACATTAGCCCACTCTCCCTGCTTGTTTCCTCTTTTGCCTCATCAAATTGCCCTTACAAGGAATCAACAAGGCCTAGATTAGTTCCTGCCTCCTCAGGGGTCTTTAGTTTTCTGGTTCCCACTCCCACCTGTTGCTTCCAAATCCCAATTGTTTTTTTCCTTTTGTATTCCCAGCTGTCACTTCCCACCAGCTCTATCCTTGCTTCCACTGCCACCCACAACAGCTGCCACATGTCCAGGATTTGGGTTGTGCTTCCCTAGGCAAAGACCAGCAGAGAGGAGCTGCCATCCCTTCGTTCTCTGGTTTCACACACAGCAATGACCACCACTGGTCACAAAAGGGAAGCAAAGCATCACAGCTTTATAAATGCAAGATTATCATATCCTTCCCAAGAGGGGTGTCCCAAGGCCTTTCTGAAGCCCTTCACAGCAAGGTAACTCCTTTCATACTCTGCCTGCACCTCCCAACATCAATTAAAATGGATATCTTCCCATTCAGAAAAGGTAAGCTCGTGTGTAGGGCTTGGTTTTCTTCCCCCTGTTTCCTTTGGATCTCTTGACTATGCAGGTGTGTTTCCTTGGGGTTTCTTTTTCCTCATTTCTCACCTGTAATTTACTGTTATTTTGTCTTTCTCTAGATTAGCCTTTGAAGGTCTGTAATTTGAAATAGCAGTGCAAAGTTTGAAGGCTAATTCCAAGCAGGAACATAACGATCTAGGCAGTATCTGCCAGCTCCCTACTAGAATCCCTTGTTTAGTCTATAAATTACCTGGTATTCCTGAAGTACATGATCAAGGTGATCCACTGATGTATCCAAAGTCAAGTAATCATTAATTTTAACTGCTATACTGTTAAAAACACATTTCCACTATCTGTTTATACTGCCCTAAAACTAGCTATTATAAAAGAAAAAAGTTCATATTAATTATATATATTTAAAAAATGTAAATATATGCAAATATTAAAATAACAAAATATATAATAATTAATATATATAATATTAAAATAAACATATTTCATTTTAGACACAAAATACAAACCTGTGTTTTCATATGAAAAAAGAAAGCAGAGGGTTCAGTTTTGGGGGAAGGAAGAGGTGTTCTTTCACATAGTTTCTTTTTTTTTGCTTGCTTGCTTCAGTTTAGTGCTGGTGATGTGCTGTTCCCAGCTTCCTAAAACACCTTTTGTCCTAACTCTTCCTCAGTTTTCTTCCTGTTACAAAAGTTATGTGAACATCAGTACATTTTCTCCAGTTCTACATCCCTTTCCTCCCACTGACCAGGTACTGTTGCTTTAACAGCCTGGATTTTCTCCTTTTCCAAAACAGAGCCTCCCTTATACAGCCCAACCACGGTCTAACTTCTGGGGACATTTCATAAAAGGTCTCAAAACAACAGATGCTCACTTGCTGCTGGGGCTTGGCTCGAAGAATTTGACAATTCCCAGAGCGATGCCCTCTCTGCACTCTCCTCTTTACTCTATGGAAAAATGAAGAAGTAAAACTAAGCCTCTGAGTTAGAGTCGTTGTTAAGCCCTGGGAAGGATGAGAGGAGAGCACCCAGTGGCTTCTGCAGCTGATTTCATTTAGTGTTTGTTCTTGCTGCTCACTCAGGAGGAACATGACTCAAATATTGTGAAAGAGCAAATGGCAACACAGCTCTCAACTCAGCCTGAAACTGCTCCTCTGTGTATGTACACAAACCCCACGGAGTTTCATTACAAAGGAAGAAGAGTGGTATCTGTGTGACACAAACCCTTGTTGTTACATGAGTTACCTGCTGTTACACAAGACTTTCAGAAATGACAGGTGATGCTCAGACCTAATACATAACTGGGTTTAATATCCCTGATAAAATAACAACAAAAAAAACCCCCAAACACAAAACAAAAATTTGAAAGTTTAATTGCTAAATATTCAGTTACCTCCTTTCACTTCTTTCTAATGTTTTTCATTTTCCAAACCTCTAAGGCAGTTTTAGTCCTTGAACAACTGGTAAGGGGATAAATGTACAGTTATAATCCTGAGATACGGGGAGGGGTGTGAATGTATTCAGAGAAGATTTACATCCTTCTTCTCTCATCTTCTTGTAAGACCTTTATCGACTACTCTGATTACATCAAACAGAACATTTTCCCTGAACTGCACTGTCCAAGTAGCTGTGCTGCCTATATCACAAACAGCTCATTCCTCATACTACATTACATATTACATATTACAGAGTCAGGATTCTGGCTTGTGTTTGAATTTCAGGTTGCACAGTTCAAGCTGCAAAACTGTGGCATCTTCCACATGCAGTGCCTGAGTACTGAGTGCTCACAAATCAGGGAGTTACATCTTTGCAGCCTTCCCATGGTAATGACTTTGTCAAGCTAATTAATAAAATTGGGGGGTTTTGGCAGCAGCTGATAATGATTAATGGCCTTACAATTTAGAGAGTGTAGAAGCAACTGCATGTTTTCCTCAAGAATTGACTAAACAGAGCTTCTTTTGTAAAGGAAATCTTATATTTGCTCCTTGAGGTGAAAGTTCAGATCTCCCAATGTATCTGTCCTTGGTTAGGTGTGTTACTACAAGACAGAGACATGACTGGTAATCATGATTAATTCCTGGAATTCGAAGTCAGCTGTAAATTTTAAACACAAACCCTTAGTTTGGGAAATGAAATCAGAAAATGTGCTAAATCCTCTCAAATCCAACGCAGTGATGTGTGGAAGAAAGAGCACATTTCCTCCTAAGTATTTCTGCAGTGCAAAATGGGCATATAGAAAATCATGCAAGTCAATATAATTAGTAGCAACTCACAGTTTTACCTCCTTCCATCCCAAGGAATCTCACAGCCTTTATGGAGATTGTAGTAGAGAAATACAAACCAAGGATAATTTTACCACCCCTGAAATGCAACCAACTGCTTAACAATTGTACATCTATGCTGGGAGCCTGGTCTGCCACAGGAAACTTGCTCTGGATTAGGAACAAAGGTTCCCCCTTGGAATTTTTTAGGCTCTATGAAATTTATGAGTATGGATATTAATTTTGTAGAGTCTATGAACACTTTTAAATGACTGGGCACACCAGTGAGTTGAAGGCACATGTGGAGCACACATAAGCTTGGACTTGATAGCAAAGCCTGACTGGCATATCAGGGCTGGCTGGGAGCAGCAGGGGCTGGTTTGCTGTGTGTGATCAGTGTGACAGCCCTCAGGAACCGCTGAGCCTCCCCGGCCCTACAAACAGTCGGCACAGCCATTAACCAGGCAAGTACGTCCCCTCCAACTGTTTATTCATCACTCCCGTTAGAACTGAATGGTGAGATAATGACAGAAGAATCTTCCACGTGTCCCTGCAGTTGTTGCAGTTTAAACCCTCGGATGAAAATATTTCGGGGCTGATAAGTGGCTTGAAGCAGGACAGCAGGTCAGTGACACTGACAGCAGGCAGTGACTAACAGTGTGTAGCTGACTAAATCCAGTGACCCTATTTATATTGGGGTTTATTTTTATTTTTGCTGAAATTCCCATTAGACACAGTTGCTAAACCTGATTTTTACTTTTTCCTATAGCAACATTTTTAACTTACCAGAGCATCTGCTTGGAATCCCTGAAGAGATGGATGGTCATGTGCTCACTCCCAGGTACCAGAGGCAAAGAGGCAGGCAAAATATTCTGAAAAACCTTAAATGAAATCGAAAGGCCATGAAACCTAAGCCATTTCTGTACATGAGACATAAGCTTTGTGGGTGCTTAAGAATGTTTTGTCCATATTTTGCAGATAAGGTGTACAGTTGTGAATTTTGTTATTAGAGCCAGTCCATCCTGCAGTGAGGCAATAGAAGACTTCAACTAAGCTCAATACAGCTACAATTTCACAAAAATGTTTGAAAAACCAGGTGTTTATTTGAAATCAGCTGGTGATTAAATGGTATATGTTGTGGTTGGGTTTGTGTCTCCATCTGAGGCTTTATTTTGCTGCAGATGCTCTGTGTAATGAAAGCTCTCATGAGAAAAACTGAGCACTGACAAGAAGTATTCCTAGGTAGAATGATCAGTCACAAATAAATACATTTTCAAACTGGACTACTGGAGGATTTATACTGGGAGTTTTTCTGGAATACTTGTGCCAACCAAATTTTTATGTAGAAGGCCCTGAAATAATTCCCAGGGGAAGTAGCTCCTCAGTTTCCTTCAGTGATGCTCTACCTGAAGTAAGGCTGAATTTCCTCTCAGAAGCTCTTGTGCTAGAGAGGATTTCTAAGGAAACACAATAAATATAGATAAAAAAGCATGGAAGTGACAGTAGTAAAAATTGAAATGAATGCTGAATTGAAGCTTTCGGATAACTAAGGAAAAACTATACTTTGTGCTTCTGTGGGTTCTCCTGCAAGGAGATGTACAGAAGATCCCCTCCCTCTTCTCCACTCACAGGGAAATTAAAAGGGAGCCAACATTTCTACAGAGACAATTTATAAATGTTTGCTTTCCAGGATTTTAACTCTGGCCAATTCTCCAAACTCTTATTTATCATCTCCTCAGTCCTGCAGCAGGAAAACTCTTGCTGAATCCTAAGCAAAGTTGAGTAACACTTCTAGATTTGGTCCCTCAGGAATAGCAGTAGAGACAGATTTTACACTCTGCGTATTTCATCCATTGTCTTCTTACCAAGTGGCAGCGGGTTTTGTGGGAATCATTGAAAACTTCCCTTGTGATGCAGAGCACTATTGATATTTGAACTCTCAGGGGGAGTAACCTCTGTCTCTATCCAAAAAGCATCAGATTAAAATAAACACAACATTGCTCAGGGAAGAGTGAGGATGTTAATGACAATTCTGGGGTTTGAAGTTGGCATTACTCAAACATTTGCAGCGTGTCTTGAGGCCTGTGTAGGAGTGTGGTGACAGGAAAGGTGAGACAAAAGACAGGCAAACATGTAGGAATCTGTCATATACAGGTTTTGCTGTAATAGACATTGCACACATTGTTCTTTTCATCTGAGAATGTCAAAGCTCATTAAAAAAATCTAGTTAAATATAAGAAGCTCTGTGAGGAAAGTAATTCTTTTCCTGGTAGGTGAGCGGAATGCCAGAGTTATTCAGTTATTGCTCATTAGAGCTGGAGACAGAACTCAGGAACAGGACAGGGCTCCAACCTGGGCTGCAGAAAGTGCTGCACGAGTTGCCAGCAGTGAAGATCTGGGAGTGGAATTTGGTTAATTGTGTCAGTCTGTAGGAACAGTTACTATTTTTTGGCATTATATAGCTCCGAGAGTCCTGAGAGTCCTGCAAGGTGTTACCTGCTCACAAAGCAAAGAGGTGGCTCTGGCATGGAGGAATGTAAAGTCTTTCAGGACATAGTTTGACAACCTATTTTTTGGTAGAAATTCCTACTTATGCATTCCCCACCACACACTCCTGCCCTCTTCCCCTTCACACTGTCCCTGCATTGTGCCAGTGCTTTTTTTTCCTGGTGCAGCCCTATGTTAAATTGAATCAGGGAACTGATTTCAATTAGAAATAGTCCCCATAAACTCCATTTATTTTTAACTTACACTAGTACTCTGAGCTGGTTCCCTGGTGCAGATGCATGAACAATGCCACAAGAAAGAGAGTCCCTTGAAGGGAGTAATGAAGGAGTGAGGAACATGTTGCACAAGTCTCACTTAGAGGTGTTTGTCCAACTGCCCTTAACCAAGCCCGACCATGACAAAGTTCTAATTGCAACTGGTGTGAAAAAACAGCTATTTTTTTGGTAAGTTTTGTTTAAATTAACACAAGCAAGTGGAATATATCAATAAACAAAACAGCAGCTCTGCCACCTCAGGTGATCCTGGAAAAAACTTTTACAGCAGAATTTGAGATCATTGACAAATCATCATCCTTCCCTTTTCAGAGTCAAAACAAAGGAAATAACCTTTAAACTCCATGTTTGTTTTCACAGGGTTATGACTGGAAAATAATTTCATCTGCCTTTCTAAGGAGGGGGGGGTGTGGGATTAAACAAAGTCGAGACCATTTCCCTCCCACCACAGCCGTACATTTATTATCTGACTCACCACTTCTGGGACTCCTTCTGGCAGCTCTGGCTTTATTGCACTGAAAACTCAAGCCTGTGAAAATATTCTCTGTTTTCAGGTTACTTTGTTCTCTGTTTCGTTCAGGTCAGTATTCCTTCCTTTAGAGGTTTGGAACTAAACATTCAGTAAGAGCTGGATGTTGTGGCTCTTAAGCCTTGTGGGTTGGGAAGGAAGGGGGGAGGGAAGGAAGGGAAAGCAGAAATGAAGGGGGAGGAGAGTCCATATCTGAAGAGAGATTCCAGGCTAGAGAAATTTTCCTGACATCCATTCAGTTTCCAGCAGAGTCTCCTTCAAGGGCTTTTCCTGAGATCCAAAGGCCCTTCCAATTCACAGCGGCATTTCCATGCAAGTTCCCCTCTGGGAGCTAAGGTATAACTGCACTCCTGGATAATAATCCCGAAGAACACCACCAGCCTCCCATTGAAATGTCAACTAGGCACTCCTGTTGTAGGGAGTAACAAAGAGATGCTAATATAATTAATTATGAAGCCTCAGTACCCTCATTAACACATCTTTAGTGCCTAGATCTTTGAAAATCAGCTGTATAAAGTGACTGTCAGAGTTAATTCCTTATAAATTACCTCCTGTCACATCCCAGCACAGCAGCAAGTTCTCTCAGGCCTTGGTGCTAAGAAATCTGGGTGATTTTTTTTTAGTTCTGATGCAGTTATATTGCTGTTATTAAAGGTATAAGCTGTTGCATAAGCAGGACTTTGTCAGGCTGGAGTAGAGAAAAATAAAAAAGCCTTTAGTCAACCCAGCTTGCACAGTTGGGGGCATAAATAGGAAAAGTTTCAGTTAACTAGATGAAGAACTAAGGACAAAAGAAAAAAAATAAAAACCAGGACTGAAAGGTGTCACATAATCTGGCATTAAAATGTTTCCGGACCTTTTTTTAAATTTGGGGATCGCAGCCAGTTTATGGCTCTCCCTCCTCCTGCTGCCTTTACGACAGCATTCCAGCTCCAGGCCTCATTCCAGAGCATCCTCCCTCCCCTCCACTCCCAAATATATATTTCAATAGGCTTAGGCTTCATGGAGTTCCAAAACCAGCATGTAATTGGGGCAATTGTCTTTTACACTCCTCCACAGAGAGCCACAGTCATGCAGCTTAAGCCCTGTTTTGTCATGTTTTCACTCTTTCTTTTTTTTAAGTGGGACTGAGATCAGTTTTTGTGTTAGGAACACATATATAGTGAAGAAAAAAGTTACAGAAATGGGCTGCATTGGTGGTTCCTTCTGTGATTTCTGAGTCCCAGACTGTCACTGCTACAAGATAAAGGGAGGCGATAAAAGGCAAGTGATCCTTACAAATCACTTGGCATTTTCTGCAGCAGTTGAAACACTCACACTGACACATCCAATTTGTCTGTACAAGATATTCTGCTTCTCTTCATCTTCCATGTGCTTTTGAGAAGGTGATAATCTTCCTGCAGTGCATAATTTTGTGAAGTTAGCTCTGTGTGTTTGTATAATATGCTCCAGGACCCTTTGGGATCCCCGTTGTACTTGGGATAACAAACCAATCAAAATGAGCTATTTTTATTTGCCATTTCAGAAGTGGCTTTCACACTAAGTGATTTTGCTGGTCTAGCTAGCGTGGCAATATGCAAATTCTCTAAATGGAGGTGAAATTTCTACCAGTAAGAGGAGTCCTTGCAAATCTCTTTCTTGCTGTATTAGTTGACATCATGGTAGGAGCATTATTTTATTCTCCACTTTTACAGTACATCTCTGTATCCCAGTAAAGCTATAATGTATTTACTGATCACTCATTGTTCATAAAAATAATGTTTAAGAAATGAGAGTAGCGTGCTTGAAATTAAACAAATATACAGATTTCTGAAGAGCAATCAAGAACTATCATGCAAATTCTGCTTGCTTGCTTTACATAAGCACAGATCTGATGGTCCCAAGTGGGATGTAACTACTTATTTCTGAATGTCCTTTTTTGAATCAACACTTCTGCAAAGGAGAACTAGTTCTGTTCAGATGAGCAATACCTGTCCACAATGCCTCCTGAGATAACCAGCTGCTTCAGACATAGCAATTAAAATTCCAGTAGCTGTTTGAGATAGTGGACATAGTACAAGTTGATGAAGTGATGTACAGAAGAGATAACTAATTTTTAGTCATGCATGGTTACTGAAAAAGGGATTCATTTAAGGGATCTCGTTGTTTTCAGCACTGCAAAGGGTCAGGTCCCTTTTAGGAATGGCACAGCAGATTGTACCTTTATGTCTGGGATGAGATACTGGACGTGCTGCTACGAACTCAGCAGGAACTGGAGGCTGCTGAGCCCAAACCAGGAGAGACACTGCCAATCACCCTGTGACATCCCCGAGGCCCTGCCCAAGGCAGAGGCTCCCAGCTGCCACCAAGTTCAGAGCCCCCTGACAGCCAAGATTCGGGATCCTGAGCCTTTCACAGATGCCTCCTTGGACAATCCCCGGTGCTCGACCCCGTGCCAGCCCCACTGCGGTTCCAACCCCGCTGGCAGTGCCTTTGTGCCCCTGTGGTGGTGACTTGCTGCCACCTGCCACAAAACCTTCCCCCAGCTCCTTCCTGGTCTGGTTACACTCCACGAAAATCTTTGTCTTATTATTAATCATCAAGGAAGGAATGTGGGATAAACAATACCTGCACAGGGCAAGGAATTGCACCCATATTTTATGAGTCCCCTACTGTAATTCTGCAGAGCACAAGAGATCCATGATTTTAATGGAAATGGATTCTTTGGATAATGTATCATGTCCCTGTGTAACAGGACATCAGAAATGAGGCAACATGTTTTCTGATGAGAGGGAGAAATAGGTTTTTAAAGCAAAAAGGGTACAGCATTTGCAGGGACATTTTGGGGTGGAAACAGGAAAAAGAAGGTCTGAAATTAGAGAAAATACATGAGCCTGTTAGGATGGACTGGGAATAAATAGGTAAGGGAGTCACAGAGCTTGAGAGAACACCTCAGGTCTGCACAAGGATCCGAACCCTCACCAAGGTACTGAGCACCTGGTGGGCTGCACAGACATTGTGTTCAACACTGACAGTTGTGGGGACCTTTTCTGCCTTCAGGTTTGGTGGATTTTAACATCACAACTCTCTAACAAAAGCCAAATATGGGATAACTGATCAGATATTGTCCATATCCCAATAAGAAGCACAAAGTGTCAGCACAAAGCCAGTTCAAACTCCATATTCCATCCTTTGGTTAATGCAAAGGCAATAGTTCAGTACCCAGACCTCAGCCAGACCAATTCTGTCACCTTGGGCCATTCCCAGTCACAGGTGGGAAAGGAACAACCAGGGAACAGAACTAGGTCTTGCTGGTTATACAAGCTGGGGAGACAAGTAGGTCCTGGGGTGACAATTCTATGAAACAAACCCTTGCTGTTGTTTGGAGAGTTTTGTTGGTTGGCTGTGGTTTGTTTTGAATAAAGGAGAAGATGTAAAAGTTCTGTTCCTCTGAACAAAACCATCGGTCAGCAAAAGGCAGTGCCTTCAATCATGTGTCAAGCCCCTCCCTGCCAGTCTGAGTTTCAAGAGCCCTTTCTCATGGCTGGACTGATCTGTGCATGTTGTTTTACTGTATCTGTTTGGGGTGGAGGGAGCCGAGGGGAAGGTGTGAAAACAGAAGGCTCAGTTACGTCTCTCTATTTTTGGGTACAATCTGATGTTTGGCCTGTCTGGAGCCTCGACAGAACTGAATAGTTTCAATTATCACAAATCCAGGGCAGCGACTGCACCCACTAGTGGGGGAACTTTTACTGAGATGCAGCTCAGAGTGTTTGTTTTGCTCAGGTCACAGTGATCAGACCCCAGAGTGCAGCTTGTCTTACAGCTCAGTCCGTTTTTGATGCTTTTCCCCCCAGTGCTTCTTCCCTTGCTGTTGTCTCTTTACCTCAACCTTCTCCTGTTGTTTTCTGATGATTTGCTCCATTATGTGAAATTGAAAACTTCCTACACTTTGTCTCATGAAACAGAGAGAGGAAAGAGCACAGATCAGCCCTGTAGTAAAAACTGCCACTTCAGAGAGACCTGGCAGCCTCAGGCCAGGAACAGCCCTTCCTCAGTCATCCCCGATTTTGCCTTATTTCCGGTGTGGAGTGAAAGCAAAACCATCCCTGTATCTGATACTGCCAGGCCAGAAAGAAAAAGCAACATAAGATTTCTTGAAACACCTTTGATATATTGAAACTCCAGAGAAACTGGAATAAAGAAGGATCAAAGTGGTTACTTAGAACAGGCATTGTCTGCAGCTGTTAGCTCCTTTCTCATCCTCAGGGAAGAAAAAAGCCCAGACATGCACCACGTTCCAGGGAACATGTTCTACATGTGCAGTAACTTTGCATATTACTGGCTGAAAAAAATGTTGATTTATTTTTGGTCTCTTTGGTACTCAAATTCCAGTTTTCTTATCTCTTTGCTGTCTCAAAAAACTACAAACTTTCCTCCTTAAGTTCCCTCTGACAAGTTATTTAAAGTGTTTAAACTGCAGTTTGTGTTTAGCATTTTTATGATGAGGCACCTTGTATATTAATTCACACTTGTAATATTTACTCCTCTTCTAAACAGTAATATGCCTTGGCAGTTCTACTCATACCAATTTAAGATAATTTAATGATGACTTAAGATGATGTATTTATAGAGGATAAATCTTAAACATGAAGAACCTCTTAAAAAACACTCTGCTATTGGGTTCAAATATTTAGTATCAGTTATTCAACATAAACTTTAAAAGTCCCACTACTTCCTGAATTTAAATATTTGCAGTAGAAAAATCTCATCCAACAATGCTTGTTTTCTGTCCTTTTAATAGGGTTTTTGAATTTGAGTAGAAAATATATTTATTCCACTCATGAAGGGGCAGATGGTCTTGTCACTGTCCTGCATCTTTAAGCTCATGTCTTAAAAATTAAGCCTTTCTCAGGCAGTGCTGTATTGGATCTCACCAATACCAGCAGCAGAACACTGGTGTATGATACAGCAGTTGAGATTTTTAATGAAAAAGCTGAGGCAGGACCTCAAGTATTTTTTCCAGAGAAGTGACTGAACTCCTGCTGTGACAAAACCAGGACATTGTTTCCAACAGTCATGTTTTTTAAAGCTCCTTTGTAAATGGTTGTTTTAAAAAAGGTGGAAACAGAAAGCTGAATGAGAAATAAAGATAATCAAGTCGACTCAAAACCACAGCTACAGGCACCTGGTTGGAAATCTAGAGTTCTACAGCTGTGTTTTTGAGATGTTTCACTTGCCTTAAAATTGGTAGAAAGGACAGCAGAGTACAACTTGTAATTAAGTTTTGTAATTCATATCCTGACATGTGACCTGATGAAAAATAAGTTGCTGCTAGAGATGCCAAACTTGAACTCTGGAGATTCAGATTAACTCCTGTGCAAGTCAGAGAGAGATGACAGGGCTAAAAGGGCCATCAGTCCAACCCATGGGTGCATTTATGTTCTTGGCTGTTCTGTGAGGTATCCTGAAGGTTCACACCAACCAGGGGAAGAATCACAGCAAATACACAGCCAGGATTTGAAATTCTGGAGGATTCAGTTCCATTGGAATTTTTTCTTTGCTTTGAAGGAGGTGCCACTGAACCTCTTTCTGCTCCAGTTTCACTGTCTGTAAAATGGGTATAACAGTTCTTTACCACGAGTTTTAGGGAGTCTTATTTCACTATTAATTGTGAAATATTTTAGATTCCTCAGAAGAGCCATTGCATTGGCTCTGACATAAATGGATTCACATGTGCTCCAGAGGAGAACTCACTGCTGAGCTCCTACTCTGTTGATTCCCACACCCAGGCCAGGCTCCTTCCCAGCAACAGCCGGAATAACTCCCCTAAGTTGGTGCATCTGTGCCTCCTCATGCCAGCGCTAAATTTAGCCCCTGCATTCATCACCAAGGGGTTCCAATGGAGTTGCAGATTGAAAAAAACTCTAAGCACAGGGCTACCTGTTGGGAATAATCACCTAAGGAAGCGGGACATCGGTCCCTGTCCCTGCGACAGGAGCAGCACAGGTGTTATCCAGCTGTTATCCAGCTGTGCCCGTACCAGGGACACTCCCAGAGCTGCCCAGCGGGCGGGAGGCACTGGGTCCCTCAGTGATTCCCCCTCAGCACAAATCACCACAATTCCCTCATCAAAACCAACCAACGCAAGAGCAAAGCAACGAGTCCAAGCACACCCCGGGCTTTTCGCGTTCGGAGCCGGCTCCCCGGCCCCCTTCCCTCGGCAAACACACGGCGACACTCCAGTCAGAGCGGGAGTTCCAGAGTGTGTCTGGAATTAGCGATAATTCCTCCTCAGCTTTGTCGCCCCCTCCCCGCCGCCATCTTAACTCCTGGCAGCCCCCGCGCCCTCCCGCCTGTGCTGGCACTCGGGACCCGACGGCGCGGCAGGACCAGGCGGGCCCCAGCGAGGGTACGGCGGGGGCGGCCAGAGGGGAAAGAGAAACCGCCGCCGGACCTACAGCATTAGTGACAGTGCCGGGGACAGCCCGCGCCCCTCTCCCGCACGGAGCCGCCGCCCGCCCAGCGCAGCCCCTCC